TTACATAAATTTTGATCAGTATTTCAAAATTATATTTCTTAAAATCATATTAATAAGAAAAAATTTACAACTTATAATTAAAAAAAATAATATAACAAGTAAAAGTGAAACCATCAATATAATTACTTGAAATTCACAAATTTCCCATAGAATGGAGCTTGTAAATTATAATTCTTTAACTTTTATCTCTTCAAGGTTTGAGTTAATTGAAGTGAAAGCTAATTATTAAGGAGAAGTGGCTAACCGACCCATAATATTATCCATTGTTGATTAAGACGTTTAGGAGAAAGCGTCAACTTGTCATTTTCTCACTTTAGTGCTTATACAGTTGGGCAATTTTCCAATATTTTACTGAAATATTTGGTGATTTTCTGGGTCTCGTTATCCATACCTCCGGTCGAGTGTCGAAAGAGTGTTGTAGAAAGATAAAGATCTGCACTTCCCTTTTACAATATAGAACGATCAAGTTTATATCTTAGATCTACCTCTTCGTAATATAGTGCACTTATCTTCCTCTTGAAATCCTAAGTATGCTTCTGACTGGTAAAATAGAATTATCAGAAATTGATTAAATTTATATTTTAAATCCATATTTTTATAATAGTGCACTCTTCATCCTCTCGAGAAATTTTAAATACCCCTTTACTTGATGGATATAGTTATCATAAACTCTGTACTTCTACTGATGGAAGTTAACAAATAAAATGATCCACAGATTACAATTAAAATAGAATAAAAATAGAAGACCTAAGCATAAATCCTGTAATAACCTTGTACAGAAGGCAAGAGTGCATCTAGAAGATATAGTAATATGTTTCCTTAGATTTTGTATTGCTTTCCATGCTTGGCTTACAATTTTTTTTCCTTCTAATTAATCATTCTTGATTTTTTTATTTTTATGGCCTAAAATTCAATTGATCTTATTTTATTATTTCTTAAAAAATGCCATTTTTTGAGATCTTCTCTTTTACTGTACTCAAGGCCTACGAACTAAAGGGTACCCGTGAAAATAGGATTAGAAAAAGTGAAAAACTAACTTTTTAATTGAGAAATATGTGTCAACCACAAATTTAAATCTTGAAAAATAAAATAAGTAAAAAAGTGACTCTTGTTTCTGTGTTTTCTCACTCTTATATGTCTTTTTTTTTTTTGTCTTGGAAGATGAATTTATTATTATTATTATACTACTAAGCAAACGTGTAATTTCATGGAGCTTGCTTGTTGCTTAAACACTTAATTAAGAGCGTTGGAAAGATTTATCTTTGAATAATTACATCATCGATCTATGATTTGAATTATGAGTTCGAATTTAAATTTCATGACAACCTATTTAATTTATTGAATTTGAATGTATTATTTATATTTGTTTAATAGAATTTTTAACATATATATATATATATATAAGGCTCAATTAAGTTAAAATTACTATATATTTCGACTGATATATCGAGATAAAATATTATTGAGGAATTTTCCTATATATTAAGAGAGGCTGACTTCTAAAAAGAAATCAGTGTTGAAAATATAAATAAAATCATGGGCTACAAATTAATATCAACCATTAATTACAAATTGTAATGACTTTAACTTACATGATTAATTAGCTTCATGAGTTGACAGCATGGACATCCACGTGGATTCCAGGTGTGCCAATTGTCCAAGGGCGGCGCACCAAACAGACCACAAAACCTGGGATTGTTTACCGTCACAAAATAATTTTTATGTTTTACTCTTCGAGAGCTAGCTTAATTAATTTTAAAAATTATATTAATTTAATATTTTAAAATTAAATTAAAATATTTAAAACTACATGAAAAGTACTTTTATAAGTACATTATAATTCTTCTCATATCAACATAGTGAAGTATTCCTTAAAATATTAATCTAAGTTTAAATTATTTTGACTTTTGAAAAACTAAACGTGATATAAAGTATATATTTTGGATGGGAGGAATACATTTTAAAATTTAATTACTTAATATTTAGAATTAACTCACCATTTGATTAGTTTAATTCCATATCAAGTAAGTTCATTAAAGGAAATAATATCCTTTACATTAGTCTCAATTAAAGTTAAATATATTTCATTAAAGGAATGAGCTATATATTCCCTTATTTAAGAAGTTACTTCAGTTGCTTGTTTCATGGTTCTAATTTTTTTTTTCTGCGAATAGCTGGTTGTAGCCTAGTGATTGGTACTTCAATTTATGTGTAGGATTTTCTAAATTGCATAAATTAGCAAAATAATAATAATAATATATATTGAACTCGTGTTAATACGAAAAGAGAAGATTAGTTCTCAAAATATAAAGTGGAAATATTAGTAATGTATATATATGGTGGAAAATCTTAGAGCATAATATAACGGTGGCGTGAATTTTTTTTGTCACGCCGTCCAAAAAAACCCTTTCATCTAATCTGCCAACCCCACGCGTAATCATCAACAAACAATAACCCCCACTACCCCACCCTCCCTCGTAACAAATTCACACAATTTAAACTCATACTTCAAAAAAATATAACTTATACACCTTGTTAGTTTTTTTACACAATTAAATTTTTTAATCTATTACAATATGTTAATCATATCACTTTTTATCAAAATTAATTAGGGAGAGGTGATTAAACGTGATATTGTGGAATAATGAAAGATAGAGATAGGCTGGAAAAGTGTTGGAGAAAGTGATTAGACATACTTTGACATATTTGCAGTTTACATGATTCTAGATAGGAGGATATGAAGGTCAATAATAGGGTACAAAGTTAGTAGGTAGTCGAACGTTGTCTTGTTTCCCTTATCAGTATTATTATTCTCCTGCTATCTTAATTAGTCTTCAATTTTATTACTCCCTTTGTTTCAACAACTTTTTAATTTCAATTTTTTCACAAGACCATAAAATTTATATTCTAGGCATCTTTAATTTTAATACCATAAGATTTAAAAGACTTTTTTTTTACTTTCTTAAATTTCCTCTCAAGTCAAAACAAGACATCAAAATTGAAATGGAGAGAGTATTACGTGTTGCTTCCGTTGTTAGCTCCCATTATCATATTAAATGTTGTTAATATTGTTCGATCTTTTTTCTATTATTTTCAATACGACTTCTTCTTCATTGTATTTTCTTTTCATACTGATTTTATTGTGCTCTACGTAAGCCTAGGATCCATCAGAAACAATCAACTCTCTACCTTTACAAGTAAAAATAATTAAGACTGCATACATTCTTTACAAACCTCACTTCTGGGACACTGAGTACTCGATGTTACATTGTCGTTGTTATATAAAATAAAATATTATAATTTGTATCTAAGTAAATTGATTGTGTAAATATTTTTTAACAAAGAGATGCATATAACTTAAAATAAGTTTTTATTTTTCCTTTATGACCAAATTATGTTGAAAACATTCTGTCACAATCATAAATTCCATATTATTTTTTTGTGTGTACCTGCTTATCACATACTACTAGTTAGCTAGAGTCTCTCTATATATATTTGTATATCTTTCTCAACAACAACATTTCAACCAACACCTCATTTATCAACTCATTTCTAATAGAGTCCTCTCCTTTAATATTTTCTCCTATTCCCCAAACTTCATTTCACTCACTCTTTCAAGAATTAAATTTAATTTTCTCCCATACTTTTTCTGTTTCTGATCAGCTATAGCAAACTGCTAAAAGGGTTATATTTCTGGTTAGTAAATATCACCTCTCTCTTTGATCTTTAGTTCTTTTCTTGATGCACATGAACTCAATTATATGGATATATGTATTTCATGTGTTAGCTAGTAATGATAGAATCGGAGCAGACCTAGTATGAAAAGTACGAATCAGTATAACTCAATAATTTTGATACAAATCTCGAATATTATTGCAAATTCTATTGAATATGTATGTATTATATAAACCATAAAATTTATAAACTTCAAATTCTGAATTCACATCTCTATCAAAGTTCGTTTTTTTTTTTATTAGGGGTTTGAAAAAAAAAGGCAGTTGATTGATTTTTTTCTTGAATGTTATAACTCCAAGGTTATGAAGTGAAAAGTGGTATTGAGATTGGGTGCATAAGGTTGGGTGTGTGAAATTAAAAAAGTTTTATTTTCTGAAGGGATCATGTGTTATTGAGTGGACTGCACTCAAAGAAATCATTTCATATTTTTTTCTTATACATATATTTATCTTGGAATGTAAATTATTTAACACAAAGTCAACGTTTTCGGCTGTTTTCCTGTTGCCTAGTTAATAAATGATCATACAAACTACAATAATACTATACATGCAACTAATTAGGCCATTGGCTTACTGATCATTATTTCTTGTGGATTCTCACGTTTTCTTGTTTAGGTAGATATCACTATATATTGGTATATATGAACTTATTGGAAATTACCAACCAAAAATTTAAGGAAGAAAAATACTCATGTTTCAAAAAGAATGACCCAATTTTCTTTTTAGTCTGTTTCAAAAAGAATGATTCATAACATTTTGGTACATTTGACATAACTTTAATTTAGAACCACAAGATTAAAAAGTCCTTTCTTTTCTTAAACTCCATTCCAACTCAAACTAGACCATTCTTTTTTAAACGAAAGGAGTATTTAAATTATAGTGTAAGATCTGCGTACATCATACCCTTCCTAGATTTCACTTGTGAAATTATACTGGATATGTTATTTTATATATATATAATGTCCCTAACCCCACTATGCCTCTTGATGATGAGACTTGTGCTCACGAATGGATATGAATGATTAGAAATCAAGAAGACAAGAGAGTGTAACATTCACTCTTTTGTGCAAATTGCAATATATTCAGCTTCACACTATTGATGAGAGGATTTAGTCTTTTTTATTATTATTATTTGTATAAAAGTTACTTTTTGATATAAAGGAGCCAGCAGAAGAAAATATTATTCAACATAGTTTATAGTAGCTACAAGTACTTACATTTTTTCTCCAGTCTTCTTATTAACTCTTTTATTTATAATTGTGTTTAGAATTAATATAAAGTTGATCAAGAAAATCAAGAATGGAGATGGATTCATGTGTACCTCCAGGTTTTAGATTTCATCCAACAGAAGAAGAACTTGTTGGATATTATCTCAAGAGAAAGATTAATTCCCTCAAGATTGATCTTGATGTCATCACTGATATTGATCTTTATAGAATTGAGCCATGGGACATCCAAGGTACAATCAACCTATATCGTTCAGACTCTTTAAAAATATTGTTGCACTCATGTCAGACACTATAAAAATACGGAATATCCTAAACACACACATTGATATTTTTGAAAAGTCCGAACAACAAAACTTATTCTTTACCATGATTTCTAACAAGTTTTTTTTTTTTTATAAAAACATTGTTCCTTTGTACAGATAGATGTAAACTTGGATATGAAGAACAAAATGAGTGGTATTTTTTCAGCCACAAGGATAGGAAATATCCAACAGGAACAAGAACAAATAGAGCCACAACAGCTGGATTTTGGAAGGCAACAGGAAGAGACAAAGCTGTTTTATCAAAAGAGAAAATAATTGGGATGAGGAAAACCTTAGTTTTCTATAAAGGAAGAGCTCCTAATGGAAGAAAATCTGATTGGATAATGCATGAATACAGGCTCCAATCCTCTGAACATGCTCCTCCTCAGGTCAGTTTGTGTATACCTCGACTAATTTATGTAATACTCACTATCTTCCATCAGTATAGATATCAGATAGCTCCATCCATCAAAAACAAGATATATAGATAAGAAAAAATGAACCAATAATTATTATTTTTACGATCTTTGCTGGAATTTGAATATGAAACTTTTTGTGTATTTCGTGAAAATGTATATGTATCAACGCTTTAAATAATATCTACACAATCAATCGAGATTTATAAAATATATAAACGGATAAATCTTTATAAATTATAATGAATATTAATTGGTAACTTAATAAAAAATAATAACAAGCTAATAGGTTAAACAACACTAGTTTTGTGGAAAAAAGTTATAGATACTAATTGTTTATATAACTTAAATATTGTTTATAAAGAGTTTAAGTTCTACTAATTATTGTTTACACAATGAAGTGCTTAGTGCCCACTTTTTCTTTAAAGGTTCATTCATGACTTTGAGTGCAATGAAAGAAGTGATGCAAATTGCAATTATGTAACTTTACCATACTTTTCGAATTAATTAAAAAAGGACAAGAAGAAGTCAATTGTAGTGGGAATTAAACAAGTAGATAACTCCACTAATGGATTCTTAACTTACGAAAAATCAAACAAAACTTAGTATTATTACTACTCCACCCCTTTAATTAGCTAGCTAATCACAATTGAAATGAGTTTCACTTACGTAAACTTGCAATGTAAAAAAATTTCACACTGTTAAGTGTACAATTTACATGTTATAGCACATCGAATTTCACTATTTTCAGGTTATTAGTTTCACTTATTATGAAAAACTACTAGCTATTGTAGTACTTATCTTTAGGCAACATGATATCAAAATCGTAGCTAGAGATCAAGGTACATGTTCGACCAAAATTAATGATTTTGATCGTACTAATTATTGATTTAAAATGATTGGATTGATTCTGAACTCATAGGCTTCAAATTCTGGATTCGTCTCTTCTGGTAAATATATAATTTCTATTACAATATGAATGTATAAAAAGTTAAAACTTAATTGAAATTTGATTATGCAGGAAGAAGGATGGGTGGTATGTAGGGCATTCAAGAAGCCAAGTCCAAACAAGCAACCAAATTTGGATGCATGGCAAAATGCTTATTATATTAGAGGAGCAAACACCACTAATTATAGACCTAATTCATCATTATCAGAAATCACAACTACTCCAATGCAACATCATCAACCCCTCAATAATATTAATGCATTCAACCAAACAACAAATTTCCCTCAATTCACATTTAATCCATCTCATGATCATCATCATGATTATCAAAATATGATCATTAATAATTCATCAACCCAAAATTTCTTTGAGAATCAAGTACTAGTTCATGACCTCCCACAACTTGATAGCCCTACCATTTCAACAAGTTTTTGTACGAAAGATAATATAAGCGTTGGTGAACAGAGTTACATAGTCAATTACAACAATGAAGATGATCGTGGCGATGAAGAGAAGCATAGTAATGGGATTAATAATAACCAATTTTATGGTGATTGGAAGAACTTTGACACATTGATTGAGCCACCTTCTCATATAAGCCATTTGCTTGAGTGCTTCCCAGATTTATAGTTTCCAAGAAGAAGAAAGTATATATTATGAAAATCTTATGATGAATATTAGATTATTTTTTTTTGGTTTCTAGTAAAGAATTTCAAGGAAAAAAATGTGGAAGGAAAAAGGCTGCTGCAAGGCATATGTGGCCTTATTATTAGAATTCAATTGTTCATCTTTCATTTAACTTGTTTTATGATGTTAACTGTGAATTGATGTTATTATGTATATCTACTGATCAAAGAAGCTCTTTTTTTGGTTAGAATAAATTAAAATCTTTCTTCTTGAGTATTATTCTTTTAATTAGGGGTCTCTTTGTCATACAAATATTTGAATATGTACGTGTTTTCAAAGAAGGAACTGAATGTATGTAAAGATATATATCCACTGTATGAGTTATGACCAACTGGATTCAATGTATATGTTTCAAACGGTATGTGCATACCAACTTTATGGGAAGGATATGTAAATTGTATATTTTATGGGGAAATCAACACCTAAAAATATATATTGCATATATGTTATACGTGTATGTCAGGTATTTGTAATCATTTCTATTGAGAGAGTGCTTATCTTCTATAAATATAAATAAATGGGAAAATTATGCAGAATAACAAACATTTAGCCTATATTGGGTACTATAATGACAGTTTAAGAAAATTGTAATTTGTGGCTACAGTTTCTCTAATTCTTGCTATTTGCCTGATTTGTATAAATTCGGAATTTGTATAATGGTTCCTGATCGTATAAATGCAGAATTTTGTACATGCTTACCCTAGCTATTTGTATACGATATATAAATAATTCATAATAAATTACCCTATTTATATATTGGCAAGCGAAATATACAAACGGAGTTCTGAAAAATTTCTGAATGTACAAATACAAAATTTGTACATACTTACCTTATTACTATATTCGCAAGCGAAATAAACAAACTGACAGAAATATAAAAACCAAGCCTCCATAGTAAAAGAAACTATAATAGTTATGGAGTGTAATTATCGAAATTATAGTTATAGAGTCTTATTATGTCTATTATATTTGTTATTCCTGAAATTTTCTCATAATAATATCACTATGTTTTGGGCTAAAAAAAGAAAGAAGGTATGGGCTACTTTGGCGAATCCAGAACTAGCATAAGAGGCCCAAATGTGATCTTAATCCAACTAAAAAGCATGTTATTTGACGTCTTAATTATTTGATGGACACATTTCTATAGCTAAATGTTATGTGCTTAATTATTTGGAAAAAATTACATAATTAGACATACTTCACTACCATATATACTATTATTATTATCTATACTTCTAAAATATTATGTATCTTACCATTAATTAAGAGTTTCCTACCATATATTGAGGAAGATACACTTAGATACATGTATTTTTGCTAGGGGAGAGGCGGGTGAGATTTGTTATGTATTATAGATACATGCGAATCACAGTAGATACACGAAAATACATATATTTGATGTGATTCACATGTATCTAGGATACCAGATACATAGGAGAGTGACGAGCGAGATGGAAGAAAGGCAAGGGAGGCAACCGAGATTTGTTATGTATCTCAGATGCATGTGCATCCACTTAGATACAATGTATCTAGCGCGAATTACACCTAATTTTGACTCATATATTCCAAGATGCATGTTTTTGGACGTATTTGGAAGTATCTGGACGCACCAAAATCTTGTAAGATACGTAATATTTCAAACTAGATTGAGATCTAAGTAATTATAGCTCCTAAACCAGTGAGATTTATGTAACTTTCCCTTATTATTTGCCCGTCACTCTGAAAATCAGAGGTATAATTTCACCACTAAATACACTAGAAACAGAATTACTAGTAAACACAAACTAATTGAATAGTATAACAGATACTGCATTTCCATAAATTGATAATATAACTTATTGACATACTACATTACAATTATTTCAGGTTTATATTAGATGATGATTACCAAATCTTATCAAACCAAATGAAACAACAACAGTATTTTCAAGTTAATTTCCATGAGGCAGAAGGCGAACAGGAAGGCCATAAACTGGAACAGGAGAAGCATGGAACACAATCTTCTCATCAGGAATGTCCTTTTCAAGCTTAAATCTTTTCACTACATTGTGCATAAACACTAGTACTTCCAATCTAGCATACTCTTTTCCAGGGCACATACGCGGTCCTCCTCCGAATGGTACAAATGTAAAAGGTGCAGGACCACTTCCTTCAAACCTTGAAGGATCGAACTTTTCTGGATCAGAGAAGTACTTTGGATTCTTATGTGTCGAATGAACTGACCAAAATGTCTGTAGAGAATACAATGACATATTAATTTCGTACAACGAGGCATAAATGAAGCTAGCTATATGTAGTATAATGAAATTAGTACCTTCCACCCTTTTGGAATTGTGAAACCTGCATATGTAAAATCAGTGATTGTTTCCCTAAACGATCCTTGAGCTGGTGGCGTTAGTCTCAGTGATTCGCGAGCTGCATTCCATGAATACTTCATCTTCTCAATGTCCTCCCACGTTAGCAAATCCTCTGCTCCTTTTGACTTTGCAATTGCCATTTGCTCTGTCATTTTGGATTTTAATCATTATAAATACGCATATAGCATTTGGATTTTTTTTGAATTTTAAGCATGGTTACCTCTGTAAACTTCATCATAAACGTGGGGAAGTTCAGCGAGGTACTTTAGTACACTCGTGACTGCACTACTAGTAGTCTCAAAGCTTGCGACTAGCATTCCTATTATATTGTTGGAAATCTCCATTTCACTCATGAATTGTCCGTCTTCATCAGTAACAAGTAGCATTTTCGACAACAAGTCTCTGCCTGCTGTCTCTTGACTCTCTGTTAATTCCTTTCTCCTCTGTGTAATGATCCTCATAAGTTCATCCCTCACCATTTCCCCCCCTTTGATAGCGCGATTATAAGCTGTTCCGGGCAAATCAATAGGCATTGAGAACATCCCATTAGTAACAAGAGTGAAAGGATCAGCCAATCTCTTTATTTCTTCAGGATCAACGAGACTCATGAACAATCGACATGCTAAATCAAATGTGTACTTTTTCGATAAAGGGAAAACTTTGACTACTCTATTAGAATCCCAATTTTCATCTAAATGTTCGCGAGCCATAGCATCCATAAGTGGAATGTATTGTTTTAGAGCCTCAGGCTTAAGAATGTCATGAAGAAAACTACGTTTTAAAGCCGATACTTCTTTCAATGAACTCTCTACGAATTCAGGGAAAAGCAACGCCTTTTTCATCGATTGTGGCCACCATGAGGTGAGAAGTTTGTTCTCACTTGAGAACAAGAACTTGTTCCCTTGTGCACCACAAAAGAATGCCATTTTCTCTCCCATGATAGATGTTTGAAACACTTCGGGCGAGTACTTCTCCATCCTATCTTTGATGAATTTCTGAGGGCCTAAAAGAGCAAACTCCATGTTTTCTCCTAACAATGGCCATCCAGAAGTTCCTGGTGGAAGGGTTTTACTACTCGAATCGCGTTTACGGAGGATGAAGATTAAAGAGAGAGCGAGGAGTAGTAGAGCTAATAGGTAGGGAACCATAACTTCCATATTTTTTTCTATGATAGATTAAGAAAATTAAAAGTGTTTTTTGCCTATGTCTTGAAAAAATGAATGTAGAAGTGAATGTATATATATGAAGTATGAAGTGAAGGGCTTAAGCTAATTGGACTATAGAAGCAGAAAGACAATGACAACAAATAAGACAACTTGAAGGATATAGGTCAATATGAGAATTGAAAGACAATCTTGAAATAATTGAATGGAATGTTGGCATTTATTGTTGTGCTTTAAATTAATAAATAAACAAAAGACAAGATTTATTCTCTACTTTGTCCTTGTCTATGCCTAACGATATTTCTGTCCGAAGCCAAAAATGCAAAAATAAATTGAGTGAAATTTTCAAAAGGATAACAAAAAATAAGATTGAAACCAAAAGGGCAATATGGAAAAAGACGCAGTCTCCCATGCGCCTTACAAGCACAAGGCGACATGATACTTGTAAGTCACAAGTTTGCTTGCGCCTTGTGAGGCGCATGGGAGCCTGCACCTTACTCCATACCATAAAAAAAAGTTTAGTCACTCTAGAAAAAGTCACTGAAAAAAAAAAGGGTTAGTCTTTAGTGGTGTGAAAATTATTCAATTAAGAGACTTTGAAGCTTATTGATTAGTAATATTACTATTATTATCAACAATTTTAAGTTTAAGGAGTAGGAATAATTAAGAAATAGGAAGTAATGTTATAATGTATGAATTTACTTTATAATAGTATTGAGGTATCAATTGTATAAATGGGGAATTTGTAATCGTATTTTGATGAATTGATACGCATATCAAAAATTAAATTTATAGGATTATGTGTATATTTACAAAATTAACATATTAAAGTACTCCCTCCGTTCACTTTTAATTGTCATAATTTTCTTTTTTAGAGTCAAAATATACTAGTAAGGTGAGAATGAAATTCCCCAACCTCTCTTTTGTTTGACTACTTAGTTTGCTTTGAATGATTCTATCACTCTTGGAAGCAGTTCTTCTGAGACGTCTCAATTTGTGCGATATATTTTGACGGATCCAATTTTGCAATCATAAACACCACTAAAGACTAAATGTTTTTTTCCAGTGACTAAACATTTTTTTTCTAGAGTGATTAAACTTCTTTTTTATGGTAAGGAGTAAGGGCACAGGCTACCATGCGCCTTACAAGGCGCAAGCAAACCTGCGACTTACAGTATCATGTCGCCTTGCGGCTTGTAAGGCGAATGGGAGACTGCACCTTCCTCCATAATAAAACTTCACGGCGTCACCAGTGGCGGAACCAGGATTTTCAATAAGGGGGTTCAAAATAAAAAAAAATAGACACACGAAATAGTTGAAAGGGGGTTCGACATCTACTATATATATACCTAAAAGATTATTTTAATAATGTATATATAATATAATTTTCCGCCGAAGGGGGTTTGGATGAACCCTCTACCTATAAGGTGGCTCCGGCACTGGGCATCACCCTCCCATCTAAATGTTTTCCTTTTGGTTTC